ATGGCGTGATTTTTCTAGGTATTTTGGATTGCCCACCCCCCACACATAGGGGCCTTAAATATGGTATATATCTCTCATATGGGCCATGATTAATCTCCCTTCGTGGATCTCTACGATGGCCCTATCTATTTCTGGGTTATGTGCTTGATCATGCCCTGTAAATGTCTATACAGGTCATCTCTAGGAGGGCGTCCCACATCTTAGCCCATTTTAATAAATTTTCTTATTGTTGCGAATCTGAGTGGCCATTTTTTTCACTTTTTATCTCACAATGGGACCCACGTGTTAGAAAAAAAGGGTAGAAAAATTAATTTTTGTTGACAAATAATGGGAAACAAACGGGGGCTAAATGAACAACAACTCACAAACAATAGTCGAACTTGGAAATAAATGAAACAAACCTTGCAAAGATAAAAATCCTAAACCCCCAAGTAATATCCAACACAATTCAAAATTACAAGAAATGATCAAGTAATAAACATACACGTTCCCTTTAGTCCTCATGTTGGAATCATCGAGGAGATGATTGGGAATGAGTTAATTTCCTTCCTCACGTTCTCTACAGTCTTCAATATCGTTTAATTTTGGCTTTTGGGATGATTTGGAGGTTAATCATCACTGGGTAATTATCTAGGTTTAGTTTTGTTTTGGACCATGTAGTTGGCCCATTGTAAGATATTTGGCAGAGAAAAGATATAAAGAAGGTTAAGGGTTTAATAATAAATAAATACAAAAGGTGATTAGCAAAAGAAAAGATGTTAATGTACTTATCATCACCAGTTCAATTGCCTCTTTCTTGTCCTCCAGCTGGCCCTTTTCCCCATTACTCCAGTTTTTTATTTTTATTTTTTTATGATTTATGCATTGGACTAGCATTTGACAGAATTAAGCCCTAGATTGACCTCCATTTTATCAAAATTTATTTTTTTCATAATCATTTTGCATCATATATTCCCTTAATAAAATAATTTTACACGTAGCCTAAAATTTATTCTTACTTTTTAACTACATATTCTCTAAAAAAATCACTATTACAACACTTATTTTCTAAAAAATGAGGAGTTCAAACACACACTACGAGAGCCCAAAGATCAGCGTAGACGTTTGCCTAAAATGGATTCTATTGGGCTTTGCCCCAACACAGAAGGTACAAGAAGATAAGTGACATGATACCCCTGTTTGAGCTCCATTATTTAAAAGCTCTTTTTTATTTTTAGAATTCATTTTTAATTACACATTTTTCTAATAAAATAATTTACGCGTAAATTAAAAAAAATCACTTTTTAAGCATACATTTTTCAAAAAAATCGCTATTATAAAAATCATTTCTTGTAAAAAAAAAAAAATGAAGCTCAAAAAAGGACGAAACAGATTAATCAACAACGTTTACTTGAAATATGTAACTTTATCTCACAAAAATATGCGTGACGACTGCGGCTGCAGAGGTGCCAGAATATTGCAATATGATGAACTCGGGCGACAATGGTAAAATTCAAAAGCTACAATGAGGAGAAAATGGAGAGGAGTTGAATTTTTCTAAAATAGAGAGAAAAAAGGTAAAACTTAGGTGGGTGTATTCAATTGAAACTTTTGAAAACTTTGAAAGACTTTTTTTAATTGATGACTTTTGAGGATTTCGTGGATTTTTTTTAGAGATTTGCCCCCTGTTTGGAGTGCATTATTCTATCCCATAGTAGAAAGAAAGTTACCGTTGGAGAAGGGAGTGAGACCCACATGTGAGACAATTACTTAAAAATGGTGTGCGAATTTCAAAACTAACAGCTCTTTTTTTTCTAAAAATGAAGGAATAATTTGCCACAAACAGGCTCTTGTATAGAATTGGTGAAAGTCTTTTGTAGACTTTTATATACTTTTGTGAAAATCAAAATTTGTTTTTTTAACTTTCTTTTGAAATAGAATTCATGTGAATCAAGTGCAATAATGTGAAATTATCACATACGAGGTGGTGGTTCTCACAATTCACATTCCCCACCCCATATAATAAAAAAATATTTTTAAAAAATAAAAATTTAAAACCTTAATTAAATAAATAATAATNAAAAAATAAAAATTTAAAACCTTAATTAAATAAATAATAATAATGATACATATAAAAATAAATTCAATATTAGGTATTATTAATATAATATATCTTTAAAGAATAAATAAAAAATATATACTTATATTTAATTATAAATTAGTCTATATAACATTTTATAATTTAATTACAAATAGATATTTTTCACAAAAAATGAATGAAAAAAGAAAAAAAAAGTTATAAGAAAACACCTTAATTTTTTTTTATAAAAAATAGAAAAAAACAATAAGAGAGAGAAAAAAAATAGAAACTAATATAATCTATAGAAGAAAATAAATTTTAATCACAACTTTAATATTTGTATAAGGGAAAAGGAGAGAGAAATATTGAAAAAAAAATACATATTAATTTTTATTTTTATGAAAGTCTCCCAAAATCATGTGATTAATGAGAGACAAATTTTGAGATTTTGTTTTAATACTTTCTACTTAAAAGTTAGTAAAACGGAGACTTTTTAAAAAGTTTTAATTGAATACACTGTAACTTTTAAAGATTTTTTAAAAGTTCATAAAAATCTCAATTGAATACACCAATGCTTTTAGAGAATCTCCAAAAATTTACATTGAATACCTCCAATCTTTTTAAATCTCAAAAAGTCCTTAAAAATTTCAATTGAATACACCCACCTCTTAGTTTAGAAGGGACAAAGATATTATTCGTAGAGGGTAGAAATTGGAATTTAGATTATTTATTAAGGGTAGTTGAGTCACTTTATTTAAAAATAAAAGGGAAAAATGGCTAACTATTCGAAACCCCTTGATGTACCACATTTCAAAATGGATAGTTAAATCCAATACTTCGTCCAATTTCATTTATGAATATGACCTCTTTCTCTTATGTTTGGTAAAAACCATCCAGGCAAGTCAAAATTAATCGACGCTCACGCAATTATGCAAAATAAACCTTTATCGAGTTAGATGAATTTGAATTTCAATCGAAATGGCCTGAATGGATTCCTATCGACTCGATTTGGAGAAAGTTTGTTTGTGTAAGTTATTTAAAAAGGTAAAAGTCTTTCGTTAGAAAGTAACTAAAACAATTTTTTTTAAAAGTAAGTTTTTGAACTAAAAAAGAAAATTTTAACACGACATAGAATTTGCATAAATGTAATTTGATTCTCTTTTAAGTTTATTCAAATATGCTCTTGATTTATGAATGTATATAAAGCAACGTGCCCACGTTGAGAATAATTAAAGGTGTTTTCTTTATCTTTCCCAATTCAAGAAATAATTTCCTTTTTTATTTCATTATAAAGCGTTTCAGGAAAAATAAAAAATAAAAAAATAGGTAAATTGTATATTTAGTCCCAATCTTTCACGAAAACTATGATCATATCCTAACTAGTTTTTGTTTGTTTCTAACCTTAATAAATTAGCAGACTCAGTCCATCATCACAATTTCTGTCCATTTTAAATCCAGATAGAAGTTGCAAAATCTTTTTAATGAAGGATAATATAGTCAATATATTACAAAATAAAAGAAATCTATTCGATCCTAACCCATCTCTACCCGTCTACCCCCGATCTTCTGAATTCGTGTACACTACACACAAACAACTATGTACTCTCTTGGACGATTGTTGATTTTAAAACAAGAAGTTGGAAAAACAAATTTTTCCCCTTTGCTTTTTTTTTTTTTTTGTTATTTATTTTTATTGAATTTTAGTGGTTGAGCCATTTGTCCTTTATTAAAAGGCTTATGCAGTTGTAGTTATTAAATACAAATCAAACTAGTTGATTCAATCTGAAATTTAATAAATTGATCATGAGATCGATCTGGGACTAATTTTAATTAAAAAAATGTTGCAATATGTAAGGGTTTAACATAGGGGTGTCCAAAAGTCCCAAACCGAACTGAATTGAGCGATTTTTCATAAGTTAAATACTTGAACGGGTACCTGAATCAAGAATCGATGGGTTTGGGTCGAGTCTCGGGTCTAGACAAAGAATCGAAAAATCAAATAAGAACTGAAATTAAATAATTTTTTATATTGAATTAATTAAATTATTTTATTTTTTTAACAAATAAGCAAATTAATTAAATAAATCAGATTATTTCATAATTTTAAAGCCCATTATCCCATTTTAATTTGAAGCAAATGAATTTACTTTATATAGCGGTGTTGTAATATTAATATCTATTTTTTTGTATTTGTATGCATCAAATTAATCTTATTGGACGACTAGTTATTTATATATTTTTGAATTGAGTTACGTTAATTTGTAAAAGTTACGAATGAAATATCATTAGTTGTATTTATGTAGTATTGGTGTAAATATTAAAAAATTTAATTATGATACGAAACCGAACCCGAACGGTTCCATAATTATATTTGGACCCGACAGTTCCATTTATTAAATACCCGAAAGTTTTGGATCGATTCGACTCTCTTCAGAACTGAATCGAATCGACCCACGAACAGCCCTAGTTTAACATGTACCTCAGCAAGCCACTTAGCTCGGTTATTAACCACCAATTAAATAATATATTCTATTAAAAAATATTGTTAATTTTAAATTTGAATCAATGATCTATTGCTTGAACTATTGATTCGAAAGTTGAACAAATAACCCATATTTTTACTATGTAATTATCAGATCGGATTTGATAATTTAACACCTAAAATGGATTGAAACTTGAAATAGGATCCGACTCTACTAATTTTTGAAGTTGGGGTAATAATGGGATAAATAATGGTCAGGGATGCGATCGTAATTTTTATGAAAGTTTGGAGACTACATATGAAAAAAAAAAGGGTTTTTAATTAGGTTTTCATCTAATAGTATAGTCACCGCCTGGAAGCTACTGTCCGATGGCATTTATTTCCTATAATAATATATTTGAAAAATTATGACGGAAATTCATTTGTTCAAATCTTCAACTCATTATTAAAACCCTAGTTGTAAGGATTTTCTTTGTTAGCTCTTGGCTTTGGAAATGCATTTTTCTGGAGGAAGAAGATAGCGTGAAATTTTCTTCAAAAGATAAGATTCCTTCCTATCCTTCAGGTATTTAACACCTCTTCTCGTCTTTTTTCGTTAAAATTACTTTTAACTTGTTTCAAACGCTATTCATTGATGTACTGTGTTTGTTAGTTCAAGGTTGGATGTGTAGAGTTATACGTGTGTGTTTACATGTATACACCCACCCGTATAATAGTATATGGTTTATTGTTGGGTTCCTTTTTCTCTTTATGGGAAATCGAAACCACAGACGAGCGTTTGGTTCATTTCTAGTTGAGTAGCTAATGGTTATAGTGTTGTTTATTTACTTTCCTTTGGGTTTTATAGTTCTTATTGATTTGGGAGTCTTTTCTCATTTTCTTTATCGCCCAGAATGGCAACTCTTGAAGAACTTGTTGCTGCAACAAAAATCCTAGGTGAGTCTGCTGGTGAGGCGGTTAAGGAGCCGGATGCCACGGGCGTTTCGGGTTTGAAACGGGGAGAAAATGGGATTGAGGTTTCTGGGTTCAATAAAGCTGATGGGGATAATGATCACTCTGTTTTTAGGGCCACTAAGCGAGCTGTTGAGGCCAAAACAACTGTGGAGACTACTTTTGTGGGCGAGGGTCAGCTACAATCTCACTTGAATGTTGAAGAGAATGAGGAAGAAGGGGCTGAGAATGGAATTTTTGTATCTGGTGATGATAAGAGCGATTCGGTCAGAGAAGAAGAGCGTAATCAGAATGGAATTAATCTTATAGTGGACGTTCTTGGTTCTTTGGATGGTGGCGATGGGAGTAATAAGTATCTTGAAACTGACGGCGGAGAAAGCTCTTTTGTAGAGAATGCAGGAGGCTTAAATATTACCTGTGTTCTAGATATCATGGGTCAAGATTATAAAGCAGAGGAGGATGGTCAAGTGGTGGAAAAACATGAGCATGGTTTTTGTGTGGGAGATTTTGTTTGGGGTAAAATTAGAGGTCATCCTTGGTGGCCTGGACAGATTTATGGTCCTCAGGATGCATCAGATTTTGCTCTGAAGCATTGTCAGAGGGGTCGCCTCCTTGTTGCCTTCTTCGGGGATGGTTCTGGTTCTTGGTGCTTGCCAACGCAACTTATACCTTTTGCGAGCAATTTTGAGGAAATGTCAAAAGGAAGTAGTTCTAAGAGCTTTCTCAATGCTGTGCAGAGGTCGATTGATGAGGTTGGTAGGATGTTGGAGATGAGTTGTAATTGTATAGCAAAAGAGAGAAAAGTTGGCCTTGCCAGGCCATTGGCGGTGAATGCTGGGCTGAAACCGGGAGTTCTCATGCCAGAGGTAGATATTAACCGCCTTTCTGTTCCTAAATACGAACCTGCTGAAGTACTTGTGAAGGTTAAGAACCTCGCACAGGCTGTTTCTATTGGCAGTATGCTTGAGCTTGCAGTCTTGAAGAGTTGGCTATCTTCCTTTTATCGTTCAAAGGGAGGTTACCAATTGCCTGTATATCATGAAGCCCATCAAATCGAAGGTCTTGAAGACACAGGTGAAATTGGAAATGTCGTTCCAAATGGTTTTACTCTTCCAATTGATGGCCCAATTTCAGGTCCAGTTGAAGAAGACTGGCTCTCCTCATACAGTACAGGTATGCAGCAGTTCCCAGCACCTTCAGGGGATAAGATTTATCGGAGAAGGAAGCAAAAAAGTGTAGCGGAGCTTATGGGAGAAACCACTGATATTAAGCTCAAAGATAAGAAGGGAACTGCAGCAAAAGATGGAACATCCACAAGGAGGAGGAAGAGCAAGTATTTAACTCCCCCCTACACGGAGAGGGTAAATGAAGTTTCTTCCGTTGAAAATATTGTCAGGGAAGAAGCTAATGAGTCATCAACGCCAAGAGAAAGGAAGAAGAGCAAGTATTTATCTGCCCCCTACACAAATCTTAATCGAAGGGCGGGAAACTCGAGCTCAAAAGGAGAGTCAGAAATTGAATATGAGAAAATTGACAAGACTGTTAGGGTGGGAGAGCACATGACAAAGGCTGATGGAGATCTTTTTCCATTGCCTTCAATTTCCAATCCTGTGTCTGCAAATATACTTCCTAGTTGGCAACAAAAGGGTATTGACTCGTCTACTTATACAAGTTCTCAACAGGATGAGAATGATCTGAAGAAGATTTTTGATACAGTAGATGTTGATGCATCAGGTAATGGAGTGTTATCAAAGGTTCAATCTGCTGCAGTTGATCCTCTTTACTTGAGCAAGGAAGGTTCCCTTAATGTGATTCGGGGATTTTTTTCAGCATTCAGGAGCTCAATCTATTTGGATGGATCAAACTATAAAGAGTTTCATGGCCATCGACGAGGTAAGAAGAGAAAGTTATTGCATTTTGATCCAGAGAATCAAGGGAATGGCACAAGTGAAACAAAAGCCAAGAAGTCCAAGCCCAAAATTCCTGAAGCAGGGACCAATAAGATTGACAGAAGTGCTTCATCGGCATCTCTTGTAATTACATTTTCCCCTGGATTTACTTTGCCATCAAAAGATGATGTTATTGGAATGTTCAATACGTTTTGGAGTCTGAATGAGAAAGAAGCGAATTTGGTGATGGATTCAAACACTGTTCAGGTTGAGTTTGTTAAGAATTCTGATGCAGAAGAAGCCTTCAGATCATCAGTAAACAAAGACTTATTTGGCTCTGCTATTCTTAAACGTAGTATACAGCATTCTTCAGTGACCCTTCACCCTGAGAAACCCGACTCTTCACAACTAGCAGATGATGTAATTTCAGATATGGGTTTCATCAACCAAAAACTCGAAATGATGTCAAGCGTGCTGGAAAATTGTAACTGTAAGATTTCACCTGAGAAATCGAGCCTTAAGGATGAGATGATACATCTCTTGGAGAAGGTTGGAACAGCATCAGAAAAGGTAAGAACCATGGTTGAAAGGACATCAACTTAGAAGGAAAAAATGCTGCAAAGTGAACGTTCAGGTTTGGGTTTCTAGTAGATAATTCCCTTTTTCAATGTAGGAATTAGTTTGTGGTAGTTCGCTTATGACGTTGCTCTTCCTCATTCCTGTATGAAAGTAGGAGAGAATCAATCAATATATACCAGAAACTGCTAGTAATATTTAAGAGGATAATCTAAATCTCTGTTAAAATCTGAAAATTTTATGATTCTGCAAATATTTGCCCATTTAATACCTGATTACATACTGCTTTAAGCATGTTAGGCCAGGAACACACTATGGGTGTGTTCGGTAGATATTAAAATTGGATTAAAATTGAAAAACTAGTCGTTATTGTTGACTTTTATTAGAGGAGTGGGACCCAATAACGGCTATATTTTCAATTTTAATCCGATTTTGAGCTGTATCAAACAAGCTCTATATTAGACCAAAAAACAAAAATATCAAAAAAGTTTTCTGAAATAAAGTGTGGAAAATTAAAGGAATACAATTGATATATTTCGGCCTAATTCCCGGAGGTTCGGTGACCGCTTCTAGCACCCACATCCTCCGTTGAGCATCCAAATATTGAATTATGCTCGGTTCTACCATAACGTCCAAAATGGCAACAAAAGGTTACAATAATGTTCAGCCAATCACAAAGAATAGTACAGAACACTTATCTCTCTCAAAATACAGCAATCTATCTACATGAACCACAAAGAATTGCTTCAAAACCTTAGAATCAACAAATCAGAAGCACAAAACTTCCTAATAGATATTCACTCAAAATATCATCACAAAGAGGTAACAATATTACATATCGTCTTCTCAAATCAAGAATTTGAGAAGGAACTAGAGAGAGATCGTAAAACAGAGAAAACTCTCAGAACGGCATACTCTTAGAGAGAGAAGATAATGAAACCCTAAAAGCCAACCTCGGGAGTGCGAAATGAAATATGGCATTAAAGAGAAGAAATATCCAAAATTCAAACCAACAGTTAAAGATTCATCCACGTGTCACAATCCGGTTGAAAGTGGGATTTAATAAAGTTGCATTAGTCAAAGATGCGTTTTAATTACAAATTATGGGAACATCAAATTGAACCCGGTGGTTCAATTCCCACAATCTCCACCTTGCTACCAGAATTTGGGTTAAAATGTAGTCTTGAACACAATCTCTAGCAATTTTTCATTTTCTCTAAGTCCCTACGTGTACATGCATCATAAAGAATCAACAGATAACAGTTTAAAAATTTATTCGAATGAATTACTTTAGTACCCATATCATATGGATTAAGTTGAGTTGAAACTTTTCCAATTTTAAGAATCCCTTTAGAAATAATATCTCTTATAAAATGATATTTAACATCAATATGCTTAGTTCTATCATGAAACATAAATTTTTTGCTCAAATGAATCGCACTTTGATTATAAGACAGTAACAACATCATTATCTGCAAAATCATATTCCCTCTTTCACAACATCAGTTTCAGTAATATATTATGCTTCAATGGAAGATAAAGCAATAACTCTTTGAAGTTGAGATTTCCAACTAACAACAGTACCACATAAGATAAAAAGTAAGAAGAAGTTGATCTCCTATTGTCTTTATCTCCAGCAAAATCAGAAACAGTATATCCCTTTAAAATTAAACCTTTTTTATTTGATTTAAACATTAAATCTAAGTTAGGTGTGCCTTTAAGATATCTAAACAACCATTTTGAAGTATTCCAATGTTCTTCCCCTGAGTTACTCATAAACCTACTCAATATGCTAATGCCAAATGCAAAATCAGGTCTGGTACAAATCATCAAATACATGACAGAATCAATAGCATTTGCATAAGATATTTTAGACATTCTAGCATACTCTTCTTCATAATTGGGACAGCATTCAGAAGAAAGCTTAAAATGATTAGCAAGAGGCAATGTTACATGTTTACAATCATACGTGTTAAATTTTTTCAAAACTTTAATCACATATCATGTTGATTCAAAAATAACATGTCTTTCTCTTTATTTCTCCAAATTTACATGTCTAATATCTTTTTAGCAGAACCAAAGTCTTTCATTTCAAATTCAGACTTCAATTGTAATTTGATATCATCAATTTCAAACTTATCATAAATGGCAAGTAACATAGCATCTATATAGAGAACTAAATAAAGAGAATTTTCACCTCCATCACCTTTAAAATATAAACATGTATCAAATAGCTCCTTTTAAAACTAAGTTCTAGAACAAAAGTATCAAATCTCTAATACCATTATTTTGGAACTTGCTTTACTCCATATAAAGATCTTTTTAATAGACAAACTGTATTTTCAGGATTTCTAATTTCAAAACCAACGGGCTGCTTCATGTAAATTACTTCATCTAACTCACCATACAATAAAGCAGTTTTAACATTCATCTAATCAAATTCCCATTTAAATTGTTTCACATTTAAACTGTGCAAGTAAAGCAAGCAAACATCTAACGGTTGAATATTTCACAACAAGAGAAAAAATTTCAGTGTAATGAACACCTTCTTTTTGAGTAAAACATTTTGCAACAAGTGTAGCTTTATATCTAATTTTTTACTATCTCCTTCCACTTGTTTTATTTTATAAATCCACTTAGAATCAATCAGTTTATTAGGCTCTTAACAAGTTTTCAGATCTTGTTTTTCAAAAGTGAAGAGATATCATCTTCCATGGTAGCTTTACAATTTTCACTTTTCTTACACTTAATGACATCTTCATAGGAGTTTGGCTCATTTTCAAATTGTTCTTGATGAGTGAAAAAAAAATCATCACTTTCAAATCTAGTAGGAGGTTTGATCTTCTTCCTTTCCCTATCTTTTGTGAGTTATAGCAGTAGGATTAAATTCATCAATCTGATCAATTTCTTGATCAATTTCAATTTCAGGTTCAATACCGCTTCATCTACTGGAGGTACAGGATTAGTAGGTTGAATTTGAGGAGACTCCACCTCAATTTGAACATCTTTATAAAATAAAACTTTTTCTTTTCATTCTAAACATGGCATTAGAGACTCATTGAAAACAATATCTTTTTTAACAATGACTCTATACCCCCTTCTCACATTTAACCCACAATCTATAACATTTAACATGTTCATCATAATCCAAAAAACACATTTAAGATATCTAGGTTCTAATTTTTCAATATTTTGATGAGCATATGCAGCACAATCAAATACTTTTAAATGAGAATAATTCACAGAACCATCAGACCATACAGATTCAGGCACATCAAAATTTAAAGTTTTAGTAGAACTTCTATTAATAAGATATGCAGCTGTTTTAACAATTTCACTCCAAAACAGTTTAGGCAAACCAGACTTAGTAGCATACGTCTAACTTTATTTAATAGAGTCATATTCATTCTTTTGGTTATTCCATTTTGTTGAGGAGTATAAATAAAAGTTCTATGTTTCAAAATATCATTTTCTTTACAAAAATTGTTGAATTCATTATTGCAAAATTTCAAATCATTGTCAGTCCTTAAAATTTTATCTTATCTTGTATTTAGTTTGGTTCTCAATTTGGATTTTCCAATTCTTAAAAACTGAAAAAGTTTCATCCTTAGTTTTTAATAAGAGGATCCAAATTTTCCTAAAGTAATCATCAATGATAAGTAAAAATTATTTAAAATCAGATAAAGTATACACAGTGGCAAGACCCCACAAATCAGCATGTAAATATTCAAATATTTGTTTGGATTTATGAATTTCAGTTGAAAAATGTAGTTTGGCTTGTTTCACTATAATGCATTGTTCATAAGAACCAAAATCACCAAGATTTTGTTTTTCAAAAACTCATTTTGATTGTAAAAAATTTAAAGTTTTTTTGTCAATGTGGCCAAGCCTATCATGCCCTAATTTCGCAAGTTTAAACTGTTCAGATGCAGTTGAAGCAGTTAAGTCAAGCAGATGTTTTGCTTACAAAAAATAGAGATCATGTCTCTTAGAGGTATTTATGATTAAATCATTGCCCTTAAGAATTTTAATGTGTCATTGACCTATATTTATGTTAAACTCCATATCATCTGACATATCTAAGGACACCAAATTTCTCTTCAAGTCAGAAAATAAATGATATCTGCCCATGTTTTAGATTTGTCACGAATTTAAAAGAAAAAAAATCAAGCCGGCTCGGGCCCCACCTGATTTGGCTCGCTAATGCCCGAGCCGAAAGTTCGGGTCGAGTTTAAATTTTTTGGTCAAACTTTTGCTTTGCTGGGCTTGGCTCGGGTCAAAAAAACTCGAAATATTTTTACTCGAACCGAGTCCGAGCAAAAAGTTTCGACTTGCAGCTCAACTCGTTGACATCCCTACAAATATGCAAAGAACAACAAGAGTACAAATTGGTGACAATCAGAAAATCACAGTAATACACGCAGTAGAACAAGATTTTCAAATATCAGGCACTTGAAAAGCATATGCAAATTAAAACTCAAAGAAAAACATAGCAACAGAGATCATAGCATAATGTTTCATAGATTCATTCTGCAAGATTCTCTAGGAGCACACCCATTCTTGATTAATCTCAAGATTCTCAAGGCCTCGTAGGAGCCTTTGGACAAAGACCCACAAATGCCTGTATTTTTAAGTTACATCGAGATCATTAGACCTTTCTCTTAGAGTTAAATCACTACTCTTCGTGTGGGTTCGTATACCGAACATCACACTTTCACTACTATTTGTATGTTAACCAAAAATACACCTAGAAATGTAACTGTCACTACCATCACTTACAATGGATGTATCCATATATATTTGAGACTGAAGATAACTGTCAATACAACTATTAATGTTATTATTCCAACTATATTGAGTATCATACATGTAACGATTGTAGTAGGGATCTTCACTCGTAGATCCATTATTCAGATAACTAGAATTCTGATCTATAAAAAGAACTTTCTAGTTCACTCAGAAAAGAATGATTATTGCCAATTTCAAAAATCTAATTTTCAATATCAAAATGGATAGAATAACTGTCTCAATTACTATCTCTAACTAAAAAAGTATTATCAGAGATGAAATTTCGAATGTCTTTGATGCCGA